TCCTGTGGTCTGAAGGCTATGGTGACTATCACTTTCTATCAGCAACCCTGACCATTAGCAAATGGAGCGGCAAGAGAGAACGAATGCCACCTAAGTTCCCTCCTCTGATTGTGGGTTTTCCACCAAAGTGCCAAGTGTGCTGAGTCTGCATTAGTTTTCTGTTAGACATAACTATAGGAAAACGGAGGCAGCAGGGACCCACTCAGCCTCTGGTGGAGCCTCAAGATTCCCAGTGGAGTGAGAAGTGCTGATAAACACCTACCTGGTGTTCATAGCCTAGGAATTAAACCCAGCGACACCGAACCCCAGAATTCCTGCTGGTTTCTTTTGATGGTATATGCATCAGGTGGGCAATGCCAGTGTCCCTGCATATGAGAACCATGCTTGGTGGGTAAGGGCTGCCTTCTTACTGTCATTAAAATCACTTGGAAGTTCATTTCTGCTCCCTGGGGAAAGGCAGGCCAAGATCCATTTATTTTGACTCCCATAGCAATGTGTAGTTTTTTTTTTTTTTTTCCTTTTAATCTGGCTTTCCCCTTATAGCTGAGGTCTTTGTTGAGTCTGGGATGTTTCACAACCAGGAAGGCTGCCTTTCCTCTGCACCCTAGAGCATTTCCTCACAGGCACTGACCAAGTGCAGACAGTGCTGACACTTGCACCCTAGTTAAGGGAGCTCACTTGTTTGATACTTGCAAGAAAAAACTTCGGCCTTGCCTCTTCATGCCTTAGACAGCAAGAGCAGCAACACACCATGTGTCCCTGAAAGAGTTCCACAGAATATGGGCCATGGGGCTGCACACGTATGCTCAGGTTCTTGCTAGCTGCTGTGAACTCTTGCTAGGATCCACTGTGACCTATTGTCAGGTCCTGTAGGAGGCTGGGCTGGCCACCTGGCCCAACGACCCAGCAGCTGTAGGAGGCTGGGCTCCTTTCTCAAAAGTGAGTGTTGAGCTCTGGACGGAAGGGCTTGGATGTGTTTGGTTAATCAATACCAAGCGCTGGGGTTACTGGGATCCTCCACAGGCCCGATGCCTTTTATAATTGAGAGTTCTCACTCTGCTGCTACTGCTATGTTAGAGGGGACCCAGGAGGGCTCCAAGGAGACATATATACCTTGCCTGAGGCCACATTGTATCATCAGTTATTGTGGGCAAGTAGCTTGGGAGTCTTCAAATGCCAATTAAAAACAGCCAGCCCAAATAGAATCTGTGTTCTAACTGAGGCAAGTTTTTTTTTTTTTTTTTTTTTTGAGACAGGGTTTCTCTGTGGCTTTGGAGGCTGTCCTGGAACTAGCTCTTGGAGACCAGGCTGGTCTTGAACTCACAGAGATCCGCCTGCCTCTGTCTCCTGAGGGCTGGGATTAAAGGTGTGCGCCACTCCAACAACGTCCGGCTCTGAGGCCAGTTCTTGAGAGGATGACCTGAAATGTGACTGAGATATTATATGACCACACTTACCTCTGGAAGGGCTGGCTGGGCGCTGCGTGTCTGCTTGATGGCCTCCTCATAGCGAGGTGGGTCTTTTGTCTTGGTGACTGGGGTCCCAAACAAGGAGTGCTGGACGACAAACTGCTGGGGTGGGGAGGGTGAGCTAGGCTGCATTGAAAAGGGAGAAGCACTTGTTAGCTCTGGGCCACACAACTGCTCCTGCAGTGACTCAGCTATGCTGTTCTACCCACAGTGGCTCCTCAGTCACCTCATAGACAGGTGTACTAAGTACCTGGGTAGCTGACAGCTGATGGTTGTCTCGAGGAAGGATTCTTCTTTACTGACCAGAGATCCAAGTCACTGTCAGGCCTAGTTCACTCCCTCAAATCCAGCACTAAGTCAGCACACACTCCAGGTGCCAGGATGACCATATAGCCAGGGAACATTGTAGATGCTGCTTCCCTATAGCTTACCTTGCTGGCAGGGCTAGGGCCATTTTGCAGGGGTGCAAGTGGGGTGCTTCTAGACTGAAGAACAGGGTTGGAGCTTTTACTGACAAAGGGCTGCTGGGTCGTTGGGCCAGGTGGCCTCTGATACTGAAGAACTGTGTTTGGTGCCGAGTTTGTGAAGACCTATGACAAAATGAAGGAAAGAAAATTGTTTTAGAGCAGGGGCCAAGAAACCTTGAAGGTTTGTGGGTCACAGGGTCTCTACTGGAAGCATGAAGGCAACCTTGAGCAGTGGGAGACAAGGCAGCTGCCAAAAGGACTGGATCTGCAGATACAGATGGGTACCATCAGTGAACAACTTGTTTTTATGCCATGTAGTCCAGTTCCCCTTGGACTAGAGTTATAGACAGCTATGACTTACCATGTGGATTCGGGGAATTGAACCTGGAAGAGTGCTCAGTGTTCTTAATTGCTGAGCCATCTCTCTAGCTCCAACATACAAATATTTCTTACCATGAGAGTACATGCGTGCACCTATCTCTCTCCAAATGTGCCTACTATGTGTAAGTCTCCTTCCACAAGGCAAACAGCACTTTATGGGAAAGAATGATTCCTAAGCCTAGGATTCTGAGATGAAGTGAGAAACCCTTACGTACTGCCGGTATAACTGTAGACACTCTTCCCTAGGCCAAAGGAAGCCGAACCTCTTTTAAGCTTACATACACTAAAGTGGTATTTTGGGGTTTCTAGACTTGGTCCTGTATGACTCTGCTTCCTTTATCACTCATGCCAATGTTGCTGTTGATAAGACAGGTCCTCAGTTTCATCTTCAAGTTGTCTTAGCACCTGAGACTTACAGAACCGGATACCTAATATCCTGTTCAAGATCAAAGCTCTGAGGTCAGACTCAGGATAAAAATGTCTGTTTGGAGGCCTCAAGGTTAGATCCTCTTCTCCGTTCTTTTTCTGAGAGCCCAAGCTGGACTCACATTGGAGACTCTGCCTCAGCCTTTCCCGGGTTGGATTACAGGTGTGTGCCTGACACCTGACCCTTGTAGCTCTTCCTCCATGATGTGGCAGAGACTCTCAGATACACACATATGAAGTTCTTACGTGAGACAGAAATGCCAGAAGTATCTTTTTTATCTTCAACTATCTTTCCCCATGGAATAACACATTTAATTAGAAAAGAAATATACCTTTAAACTCAGTAAATCCAGTATACCAAGATTATAAAAACATGCTGTGGAAACTTACTTGGAAAAGGCTTGGGCTATTCAACCATCTTTCATACTAAAGATTTTCCCCAATCCTAGACAGAGTATCTGTGGCCAAACAGCTTTCGACCTAGGGTTTGTTCTATGGCTGAGCATCACAGGGGCTTCCCAAGGAACAGGCTCTTAGGTGATGCTCCCTGTTAGGGGAGAGGTGACAGAAAAGAGAAGCACCTTTCTGATTGGTTGAGGCTGGCCCAGCACATGCTGTGGGAAGGCCTCCTGCTTCTGAGGAAGTGTTGGGGCCAAGGTTGCTGCTGGAATCTGTGTGGCAGTGGCTATCTGAGGCTGAGCCTGAGCGCCTCCTGGTGCTGGAGTCTGGGAAGAAAACAAAAATTAATCTTAATGTCCAGAAGCACACCTGGGATTGAGTTTTCAACACAGTGTAACTTTGCTTAGGAATCACAGCTTAGATGAAATGACACAAAACAATTACAGTCACATACTTTGGTTCACCTGACCTTTGGCAATTATTTTCTCAATTTTTTCTTTTCTTTTTTTTTTTTCCCCTGAGACAGGGTTTCTCTGTGTAAAGTCCTGGCTGTCCTGGAACTCGCTCTGTAAACCAGGCTGGCAAGGAACTCAGAGATCTGCCTGTCTCTGTCTCCTGAGTGCTGGGAGCCCAGCTAGTTATTTTCAAATTTGTTTTTTTTTTACTCATAGAAATATAAAAAAAACTATCATTAATTGGGTGCCATGTGACACTGTGCTACACACACATTTTGTGTCCTGAAACATTTTCTCCTCCCTCTTTCTCTGGAGATGGAGACTGGGAGTTCAAAACTATCTAGCTTCCCAATAAACACAGTACTTCATTACTTACAGTCACCTGCCTGGATAACACACTGGGACTTCTATCAGTCTTCTCTGAGTGAGCACAACAATCCTACACCAGTGAAAAACACCAAACCAGACACTGCTCCTTAATATGGCTAAGATTTCACTGAAAGTTTTGAAGGCAGAAAACAGAAACAAGGCAGCGCTACACACAATAGTCAGGTCTGTGGCACGTTCAGAAGTGCCAAACTGTGATACCCAACTGCCCACAACCCTGCTTATAGTCTGCAAACAGTCAGAGATGTTGGGCACACAGCTGTACAGAGTCCCAGCAGAAAACAGAGTCTGTTCTTGTATTAACTCTAACAAAAATACTTAGATCAATTTCCCCCCAAAGATACGTTATAGAATAGACTTCCGACTTACAAGTATTCTGTAAACAAAGCAGGGGAGTTTTGCACTTGCCAAGGGTGTTTGGGCTCTGCCTTCTAAACTCAGGTGTGAATTTATTTCTGCTGCTGTCACAGCACTGGCTCAAATGGCTCCTGTTCTCCTTATGGTCACATCCGGGGAAGCAGCTCTCCACAGTCAGAACAGGCCCACTCCATGTTTTCCTCAGCATCCTCATGTGAATGGTACCCCCCACCTCAGTCAGAAGACAGGGTTTATATGTCACATTTGTCCTCAGGCTCCTTATCTAGAAATGTGCTGTCACTTAGAATCAGGGCAGGGGTGACTTACTCAAGGCACACAGCCTATGCTAATGCCATTCATCTTTTTTTTTTTTAAATAAAAGGAAGTACTTAATTGGGGCTTGCTTATAGTTTCAGAGGTTTAGTGCATTTTCATCATGGTGAGGAGCATAGAAACACAAAGGCAGACCTAGTGCTGGAGAAAGAGCTGGGAGACCTATGTCTGGATCAGCAGGCAGCAGGCAAAGAAAAAGCCTGGCATGGGCCCTTGAAACCTCAAAGCCCTACACCAATGACATACTTCCTCCAATAAGGCCATACTTCCTCCAAGGCCACACCTCCTAATCCCTCTCAAGTAGTGCCAGTCCCTAATGACCAAGTAAAAATATGGAACACTTTACGAATTTTGTGTGTCATCTTTGCACAGGGGCCATGCTAATCTTCTCTAAATCGTTCTAATTGTTCATATATGTGCTGCTGAAGTGAGAACAATCTTTTTTTTTTTTTAATCTTTGCCCCACCCACCCACACTATGCCTTCCACAACCGTAGCCTACAGTAGCTATACAGTAGTAGCTCAGCACTGGCTCTACCACTCCTACTCACTGTAAAGGCAACACTGTGAGACATATTTCGTACCTGGAGTTGGAGGCTGCCTACTGGAAGTTGCACTGATGTGACATTCGAGCCCTGGATGGACACTGGCAACAGCAGCTGAGTGGTCTGTGTGGCCAATAAGGCCTGAGGCTGAGCAACAAGGGCAGGTGGCTGTCCCTGGGGACTCACATAGAACTGTGAGACAACACTCTGCTGCTCTGCTTGGGCTATGGGGACCTCCTGTTTGATGACCACAGCCTTTTTGGCAACAAGGGTCTGGCTACCTGTGGAGATGGGCTGCTGGGGGCTGGAGCAGTCAGGAAGTGAGGCCTCATCCTTGATGGAGGACCCAGCACTGCCGTGTGTCTGATCTGATGTACTGAGGGGCTGTGAGGGGCCACTGGGTTGAGGGTCTGGCGGCCGTTGCCCTCGTTTTTCCACCTCAAGTTGCATCTTGAGGACCTCTACGAGCTTCTGCTCTTGTTCCAGTTTCCTCTTTAGCTCTTCAATTTGTTTCTCCTTCTCCTGAAGCTTGCGGTCCTTCTCAGCAGCATCCAGTTCTAGGGCTGACAGGGTGCTGGTGGGGCTCAGGCTGTCCTCATGGCCTGCCACCCTCAGGGGGGAGGCACACAGGAACTGGGAAGGGGACATCATGCTCATGATCTCAGTGAAGGTGTCTGTCATGTTTGTGTCATCGGTACTGAGACTGGATGGCTCAGAGGGCGATGGAGAGATGGGCAGAGGGGAATGGGCACTTTCAACGTGGGCCACATTGCTGGGTCCAGCAGGTGGCAAGTCTGCCTTGAAAGTAGACACAGAGCTAGTCACGGCATTATGCAGTGTTGTGACTGGCAGTGCCACCGTTACCTCAGGGTTACTGGTAACAATAGCTGCTGACGACACTGCCACAATACTGCCAGCAGCAAGGCCACTACTGGCTACTTCCTGGTAGGGTTTCAGGCGTTCAATGAGGTCTGGTTTAGTGCCTGACACTGGCAGACCCCTCAGTTTGAGTTCCGTCTTCAGCTCTGACACCTGGAGGCAAAAGCAGATCAGGTATTTGGTTCTGTGAATCTCCTGTGCATAAATAGCAGAACTACCTCTGTTGTCCACAGAAGGATGGATGGGCTCCACTACCAATAGATGTCTGAAGCTGACATATAAATGCAGACTTTTTCCATCTGTACTCACCATAACAAACTTAAGTCTCTAGAGGAGGCAAAGAGCCCTGTGAGAGGTACCTGAAAACAGCTGGTACTGGAGAACTGCTACACAGAAGTGTTTCTTCCCATGGTGCTCAAACAAGGCACATGTCAGCAAATGAGAATTATTAGTTATTTGAAAGATAAAACTTAATGGAAATAAAAAGAAAACATTCCCATAAAGGGTACTACTGTTGTCCATCTATGGAAAAATACCCATGTGACCGGAAAACCTGGCCATTTGCTCATGTGCAAGGTACTTAGTGGTGAATAAACTTGAGGTAGAGTCATTACCTTTAAGTCGTCCAAGCTGGAAGGCAGAGGTCCTGGCCTCCTTGTAGGTACAGGTGTGCTACTACTGCTATTCTTGTCATTTCTTCAAAAGAAGAAGTTAGAGTTTAAGACAAGCTGCTGCTACGTTTGACTAACAATGTAGCAGCTTACAAGGAGACAATTACAGACACATTTGGGAAGACTCCGTATCATGGAAATTCAACTGCATCCTATCCCAGTCAAATCCCTAGAGGCTCTGTCTGTCTGTCTGTCTGTCTGTCTGTCTGTCTGTCTGTCTGTCTGTCTGCGTAGAGGAAATTTAGAAGGAAAGCTGTAAGGGCCACCCACTAGCTGTGGCACATGACATCCGTGCCTTTCAGTGCTTGTCTGGTGTAGGTTGCAGTTAAATGCCTAGTCTGGAAAATCAAGTTTTTTGAGGTTTGGGCTAAATGCTGAGTGTTTTATATATCATTAGTTTGTACAAATAAAGCTTGCCTGGAGATTAGAGGGTAGAGCTAGCCACTTGCTAACCATAGAGGCCTGGAGGTCAGTACACACAGACAGGAAGTGAGATGGCTGGGAGGAAACAGAAAGTGATAAGGTGGGAAGAGGCAGGAGCTCAGTCTCTTTGGCTGGGAAGTTGAGTAGGTAAGGTGGCTGTGGTTTTTCTCCTTCTTCTCTCTGATCTCTCAGCATTTTCCCTACATGTGGCTCTGGGCTTTTATTACTAAGACCTATTAGAACTCTTGTTACATTAGTCTCTCCTCAAACAACACTTAAAAGGCTCACCTCAGAGTTGTAAAAACTCAATTGGTGCTTTTGGTTTTATTGTCATTCAATATTGTCCCCACAAGGAGAATTCTTAGACCTCCTGAATCAACCTCTATGAAGTTTGAGTAACAGCTATACTGTACTTTCTTACCTGATGTCCCTACCCCAAGCCACCTTTCATTTTCTATTTGGTGATATTTGTCCTCTGGAGAATATAGAGTGAGGTATTAACTCTTGGGGCTAGGAAGATGCCATGTGATCTTGAGGGCCTGTGTTAGATTCCCAGCACCTCCATAAAAAGCTGGGCACAGAGAGAGGTGTCTAATCTCTGCACTGGGGAGGTGGAGACATAAGGGTCCCTGGGGCTTGCTGGCCAAGCTAATAGACCAACTCAGTAAGCTCTGGGTTCGATGACAGATACTACCTCAGAAAATAAGGTGAAGAGTGACTGAGGAGCCACCTGACACTGAACTCTGACCTGCACACATGTGCACACAGAAACACAAATGTAATCCTTTTTGCTACTTTTATGGCTGAGGTTCTCTATCTGTGCCTAAGATTCACTGGTTAACCTACTTATGTTATTTTAAAAGCTGACTTTTCTTTTTACTTAAAGCACAGATGAGAGACCTGAGGTTCTGAGGCCCAAAGTGGGCTTCTGAGACCTTCCATAACTTGCTGGTGTGAGGCCACACTGGGCTTATCTGAAGCCCAAGCTTATTCTATAATAACAAGGAGGCACAGACACACATAGAATCCTACCGCAGAGCTTCAGGTATTTTTTGTCTTTTTGTTTTTTGAACTAGACCTGAACTTACAACCTCCAGCCTCACTTCCCCTCATGTTGGGATTCTGGCCGTGCCTTTCTTCACTTCTGTTTTGTTCTGGGACAGATCTGTGTTAAAAGATTAGTAGTGTGCTGAAAAACAAAATCCTCATTTTTCAGATCTGGGAACTAGCCAGAATTTGACTTACTGACACTAGATGGCTCCTTCCTCTTTCTAGGATAGGTGGTTTAGTTATGGTAGTTGGGGATGCTTGTGGAGGAGAGGGAAACTGAAGCCTCAAGGAAGGGCAGGGTTTGTGGAGTCTGGAGTCCTATGTCCTAGATGTCCTCTCCCCAGGTAAAGAAGTAAGCTGTTTCAATTTTTATTTGGGGCTGAAGAGTGGGTTTGGCACTAAGAGCACTTAGTGCTCTTGTAGAGGACCTGGGTTCCACTCCAAGCACCCATATAGCAGTTTACAACTGTCTTGTCTCTCCAGTCCCAGGAGATCTGATGCCCTCTCTGACCTCCTCTGTCACCAGGCATGTACATGGTACACACACACATGCAGGCAAAGCACTCATACACATGAAATAATAAACCTTAAAAACTGTTTAGAATTTTATGTGCTTGGATGTTTTGCCTGCAAGTATGTCAGTTTTACCTTTAAAAGGATAATTCATAGGTAGGTATCACAGGAAAAACCATTTTGTTTTCAGTTTCAGTTTCCTCACTGGGATTGAGTCAAAAGACCAATCCTACTAAACTGCAGCAGGGCTGATGGTGGTGTGAACAGCTAGGAGCCAAGGTCACCACTGTTGCCGTTACTGGTGCCCAAACAGGTGGTGGTACAGGATGTTTGCCCAGGTCTTAGACACAGCTAAAAGATAGTGACAGTTGCTTGGGTCCTGTCCCAACTCTGCCACCTTCCCTGGATTCATTCTACCATAATAGCACACTTGGGCTTGCTTGCTCTTAAATAATAACATGTTACAAAATTACTTCCCCATCTCCATGCTCTGTTTTAGGCACCTGCTTCATAAGATGGTCTACATTACCAATGAATTTAATCTTCATCGTGATATTTTTATCTTGAGACGAAAACTGCTATCATTCTCTTATGATACTGAATGGCTTGCTCAGAGTAGCTTAAATGACAAGCTTCTCTGTACCTTCCTGGTCTCTCTAGAGCTGGGTAAGTGGGAAGTGAGAGACAGGATTTTTGCATCTTTGAGTTTCAGAAAAAGCATATTGGAACGAATATCTAAAACACTTTTTAGTCAATGAGTGGAGGGTACAAACTTGCCTCCTCTGAGCCCTAAGAACAGGTTTCAAGTGGTGGAAATGATATCCTTCTCTGTTCCTGAGCACACAGACCTTTCTCTGTGAGCCACCTGCTGATTCCCTCATTATCTCATCACCTCCCCTTACCCCTGAACATTTCTAGAGTCTCCTTCATTATCTGTATCCCACTGTTTGTAATGATTCAGTCCTGCCAGGTTATCACTGTCTTAGACACTGTTTCACCTGCCATGTGGGACAGTCTTCTACAGCGGGATTCTACTTCCTGCATTTAACCTTTCTTAGGAATCACTCATGGTCTCTAACAGGCATCTTTGCTCACCACCACTGCATGCCCTTCCTGTACCAGAGCTTGTCTCTTTCTCTGTGTGGAAGAGCCTTCTAGAGCCTTCCGTGTGGAACTTTCCACAAAGCTTTTCCTGACTATTCCTGCCTTTATACCCATGCTTCTTCATCCTATGTGGGAGTGCATCCTGTGGTTTTCTCATGGCATCTGATACTGACAGGTCCCATGGGCACATCTTTCCTGAACAGCTGTGAAAAGCTACGGAAGACAAATGTTGAACTAGAAGGCAGTCCGAA